GGTTCGCTATATTTACGCGGGTTTCGGATTAACAAAATTATGCTAATGACTCATTGATAACCAGTTGCAGTAAACGACTTCCCAGAAAATTAGATAAAAACTGCATTAATGGTCATATTTTAAAATACATTAAAATAACATTAGGGTAGGTATAAATTTGTTACAATATTGCAGTTGAATTGATTCTTTGCCAGTGTTGACATTGTATGTTTGGTGGAAATATTTAAAAATGCCTAGACGTGTGTTAGATGTAGATAGTCTAATTTGTAGTGTACATAAGTATTTTACGGATGAAAAAGAAAATGGCGGTCCTTTAAAATCGGTAATGTCTGTTCAACAACGCGTATGTGATGCTCTAGGAATTAGTGAAACCAAACTAAGAGGAGTATTACAAAATCGCAATAATGAACGGCCGAAAGAAGATCACCGAAAAACTCGCCTATCATTGAAAACGAAAGATATTCCAGATGGAAAAAAATTTGAAATTCGTTATACCATTTATCGAATGCGAGCCAACAAGGAACATGTGACCTTAAATACAATTCTCTCGGAATTAAAAGATAGAAAATTTGACAAAATTGGCAGAAAAAGTCTATGGCAAGTCATACATAATTTGGGTTTCAAATTTCAAAAGGAGGAAACCTTTTGAACCCAAATTTCAACAGAAAAGCCCTTTGTGAAAGAAGTTCTGTTGTGCATAAAAGGATTAACTTTCTAAGAAAATATTCTACATTAAAAGAAGAAAGGGCAAATTTTATATATTTAGACGAAACATGGATATTTTCTAGGGGTGCAGCCAAGAGAATATGGCAAGATGATAACGTAAAGTCTATCAAACATACTGATGGAGAAGGGAAGCGACACATAATTTTACATGCAGGGTTTTATAGAAGGTGCTGATTTAATATTTTCATCTAAATCAAAATCAAGTGACTATCACGATAATATGAACATAGAAATGTTTGTAAAATGGTTACATGAAAAACTTCTCCCAGGTTTAAGTGAGCCCAGCGTAATTATTTTAGACAATGCACCTTACCATTCTGAAGTATTAAACAAAAGTCCAACGAATTCTTGGACTGTTAATCAAACTAAAGAATGGTTGACAAAGGAACATATACCATTTACACAACATATTTTAAAATCAGAATTATTACGCTTGGCGAATATCCACGCAAAACCAAAAACCTTTGTTGTGGATCAGATTATTGAAAGTTACGGTCATCAAGTTTTACGTCTGCCTCCGTATCATTGCCAGTTTAATCCCATCGAATATATATGGGGAATAGCAAAACAATATTATGACAACAACCATATTGGGCCTAACGGTTATATGCAGTTCGGGAAACTTGGCGAAAGGCACTTTCAATTGTAACTCCAGAAGTGTGGTGCAACTGTATATTCAAGTGCGAGAAACTAATGTGGACTCGTGAAAATAAAATAAACGAAATAATATGACAATTATGCTATTTTTGATGATAATGACTGATTTTCATTTTTGTTGGCAAGTTAAATTTTTTTATTTTTCATTAGAAATTCTCTCCATGGAACAAATATACATAGACCATATTTTCTGTGTGAAGTGTAATATAAAATTATTATTAGGTTTATATTAGCCACATTAGACTCCATTAATGAAGTAATTCTTCTTATTATACTGTCAATTATATAAAAGATTTTCCATTATTATTTAATTAAAAAAAGTTATGGATTATTTTTCATTTCATTTGACCAGCTGATATTTCCCCAAAGAGCAGGTAATTAAAACTGGGTACTTACAATAAAATTTTTAATCCGAAACCCGCGTAAATATAGCGAACCGACTATAAAAGCATTCGCATGTCGCTAATTGACAATAAGAAATTTTATATCGATTGAAAATGTTAATTCTTTTTAAAAAACTTTTATGCGTCTTAATGATAATATTTTATACCTGAAGAGATTATGTAGGTATTCACATTATTGGTTTATTAAAATTACTGCAACATTTGAGACACGAAAATAAAAAAAAAAACAAATTTAACGGTTATGCAAACTTTATAAAGTACAACTCTAATAAAAAATTATACAGAAGAATTGGACTATAGTTTGTAAAATGCAGCTATTGTATCCTTCAAACAAACATATCATTTGTTTGTGTGTTAATTCAAACATTTACAAACTGGTAATTAACAATAAATAATGTTAATATATTGTATAGTTATTTTTGAAACATAAATTGTAACAGGTACATGAGTTTGTGTGTATATTATCTATGAAAATGTGCATTTTTGACTGAATTATTTTGTAAAACAAAAATATTTGTTCAACTGTTGTAAATAAATATATATAGAAGTAACGGGTATTGTTATTGGTTGATCAATTGTTACACTCAGAACGGATTTCACTAAACGGTAGCGGCAACAATGTACAATTTCATTAGTAAATTCTTACCGGAGTCATTTTTATTGTGTATGCTTCGCCCATGTAAATATGTAAATTTGTAACCCATGTAAGATAACTTTGCCCCCGTAACAATATAAATTGGTGCGATTCACGAGTGTATAGTGAGATAAGTTCATTGAATAGTTTGAAACATCGGTAAACTTGTCAATATTTTGCTGGTCTATATATATTTACGTTCTTAGAAAGAATGTTAATGAGAGAAATATGATATCTTAGTTTATTCCTTCCAGAATATACACATATGTGCATAGGCGTAGTGTGTTCTTGGGAATATATTTATTAAATAGACTTTATTATTAACTTTAAAATAGTTATGAGGTAAGTAAAGTAAATTTGAGGCCAGTTTATTCTTTATATAGTATTAAACCCTTAACGGCTGCTCAATATACAAAGAGAAATTTGACAATTAATATATTAGATTGGATTAAAAACACATAAATTAGGACTAATTTACAACCAATAAGATTTTTTTTCTCATTTTCAAGGAAAACAGTACAATTTTTAATAAAGGAACATATTGTATCTTAAACGTAAATTAAATTTTAAGGTGAAAATTTTCGAAACATTCGGGATGTAGATGCATTCTACACTTTTTACATAAATAAATAGTATTACTTTTGTACATCCTACATTTTTGCACTGTCTCTTTGACGTCCATGTACTTAGTGATACTGATGTACCGGATTCTTCACTATTGTAAATTAAAATTATAAATCTAGGTCGGCTCATGCTTTCTCTTATAATATGCAATTCTTTATCTTCATCCTTTGATCAATGCATATCAACTTAAAGCAGAATGTAAATCAGATAATATAAATATGCTAAAATATTTTTTTTAAATCTATGTTATTCATTTCAAAATTGTGACGGTTATTCTGGGATGCATAAATATTTGTAAAATATAGAATGCTCTCAAGTACTTGTTTATCAAAAAGAGTGAAAAAACTTCAATATATGACTTACCTACATGGTCGGCTTTTATATTGTCTAAATATCAGTCAGACTGATGTTCAATTACTACTGAGCACAAATAAATATCCGTTATTACAAATTGAGATGAATTTGGATTTACTATTTTTGCCTGGTTTTATCCTCGGACGTTTTATCTGTGGTTCAGAGAAATATCATAATCAGAATCGTCAGAATTCCCAATCACTTGTATTTCATATGTACCTGCAATATCCGATTTTATTGATACTTCAAAAATAATATTATCATCAATGTCTTCAAGGAATACAATAATGTACCAGCAAACACAAATAATCAACACAATAACGTACTTGAATTAAGACACGAAATACAGTTTTCATGAAGTAGAAATAGTCATAAATTCACTCAAAAACAGAAAGTCACCAGGACCAGACGGAATAACAAACGAGCTACTAAAATACGGATTAGAAAGTATAACCCTAAAGATGACAAAACTTATACAAAAACTAATATTGCACTGCAAGATACCAGACGCATGAAGAAACAGCATAATGATACCAATGTTCAAGAAAGGACAACCGAATCGTTGTTTCTAGCATAATACATCATGCCGTTTTTGGTTATAAGTTTGCCGGTGTCTGGCCATTGTACGTCACTTATTCCCAGTATATTTATTTTTATTCTGGTCATTTCTTGTATTAAATTGTCTAATTTTTCTGGATGGTACAAGCTTCTTACATTCCATGTTGCAAGTCTTAGTGGTCTACATTTGTGTATTCTTAGACGTGGAATTTTATTATCTAAACGATGATTTTGCTTGCTGTCGACCTGAAAGGCCACGTCTTTCCCTTTCCTGGCGAATCTTGGTTTCCGGATTCCATGATCCGTAACGGATTGATTTTTTTGCGTATTTGCCATGATGAATGACTAGGGATGTAATAGATGTAAAAAGGTTCTAAATTTCCTCAAATCAATTATAAAAATATGATGGGGTACAGACGTTGCTTTTCTTTCGATTGTATATTAGATCTATTATCAACTATGGATGGGTATTACGTGACTTGACAAGTAAACATATACAGAAAAAAATAGATATGTTTCAAAATACATATAGTATTAGATATTCGTGCATGTAAAAGATTTAGAAAATCTCTTGGTCTATAGAAGATAGTACTGTATTATTCACATACGATATGTATGTATTCTACTACTTCCATGGAATTCTACTCAAATATCAAACTGAATAAAGTAGATTTAACTTAGAATCTTTAATGCAGTGGTTTCCCCTTTCCTTCTGTATTCTTCTGTTCTTCTGCCGTTGACCAATTTATTAGTTCTTCCGCCTTTGGAGTGGATTTCTCAGCTCCAGGACAATAGATTGTCTACTACCTACCGACTCATCCGCCCGAAGCCATTGGTTGGTATTCAGGGCATTGCTTATACCGTCAATCACTCGGTCCATATCTGCGTTAGCCATCAACATTGATGTTGCCCACCTTCTACCACGTAGAGGTACAGATTCGAATTTTTCCTACATCAAGATTAAGACCTTTCGGCATTTTGTAATCTCTCCACACAAATACAACACAATATACACAAATTGTATTGGGGATTGGAATACACAAATGTGTGCAACAATCGAGGTTGATTTAACACATTCAAGTAGAAGCGTTGCTAGAGAGTTAGATGTTAGCAATGTTACTGTAACGGAGGTATGGAATAGGCACGGTTACAAGAATTTTAAATATTCGAAAATGCAGCGGCTTTTTTTTGAATGAATGAATGTGTTTTTCCTTATAATTTATATGGAATTATTAACAGAAGTTTAACATTTAACAAATTTCCTATTAACATTGCATGTGGTTGTCTCCATAAAGATAATTTTTCTGACGGGTGTTCTTACGTAAAAGTTGATTTTGTGTAATCGAATGAACAATCTAACAATAAAGTCGTCTCCGGAACGCAGCTCAAAAAGACAATATCATTTTAACGTCATCCACTTTAAAATGTATAATATATGTCTGAATTGTCAATATGAATGAGGCAATTAAAATATAATACACAATGACGGTATTAGTTTTGATTCGATACAGAGCAGCGACAAGCCGCATATATGTATTTCGACCTCTTTAGGTCTCCTCAGTACGGTATAGCCACTACTCCGTATCGAACCAAAATATTTTTCCGTCGTAGACCATAGTTATTAAAAATAACTATGTACAGACGTAACTACGTCATCTAAAAACAAAAAGAGAACTTATACGATTTCTACATGGCGAAATCGAATTCAAATATTAGCCACCGTGCTTCCTAAAACTTGCGAAGCAAACAGCTTGATGAATAAATCGGCAAGGGAATCTAAAATTGCATTCCAAATGCTGTTCATCATGGCCAATATTTGTAGTGAATTCGATTTCTGATACTCCAAACGAAGTAAAGAAATAAAACACAATGACGGTATTAGATTTTGATTCGATACAGAGCAGCATACTTCGTTTGGAGTACCAGAAATCGAATTCACTACGAATATTGGCCATGATGAACGGCATTTGGAATGCAATTTTAGATTCCCTTGCCGATTTATTCACCAAGCTGTTTGCTTCGCAAATTTTAGGAAGCACGGTGGCTGATATTTGAATTCGATTTCGCCAGGTATAAATCGTATGGTTTCTCTTTTTGTTTAAAATATAATAGTTTTACTATTTTTAAGCGAAAATTTTTTAGGTTGTTTACAGTATCAGGTTATACAATTGTCCAGAATACCAGAAAAAGACGCCCAAATGGACAATCCCGGCAAGAGACATGGGAACGCACCATACAAAAATCTAGAAGATGTAAAGGGGAAGTATACTATTCAAAAACAAAAACATCCGATGGTGAAGTGTTATACGTGTTTAAGCCATCCAGAAAGATAAAACCGAGATGCAGTCATACACAACAAACGTATTTTCAGTGTTTTAGAGTCACTGATAATTTAAGACAGGACATATTCTCCGGTTTCTGGAAAATGTCTTGGGACGAGAAGAAAGTATATGTTAGATCACTTGTCCAAAAGGCTGAAATTAAACGTAGAAGAGTCTTTGAAGATTCTAGAAGGAACGTTTCATTTTCATATTTCCTAAATGGTGATATTGGTAGTGTTAGGGTATGTAAAAATATGTTTTTGAATACTTTAGCTATTGGGGAGAAGTCACTTTACCACTGGATTACTGAGTTTGAGGAAAATCCAACTTAAAATACCAAAAAATTTTTTATAAGAAATAAAGTTAATAGAAAATTTAATTCTCTTTGTTTTTTTTTTTTCGTACTGAGTAAACTAAATCATTTAACCTTATGTAGCCTTTAGGGACTTGTAAGCATTCTAATTGACGTTGAGTACCAAATATACAGTAAACAAATTTCTAGAACAATTATGAATATTAAAGAGCTGTTTGTATTTTGTTTATCAATAACTAAATAATCATGAACCTAACTAAATAGTTAAAACTTAATAGTACTTAAATACTTTTTAAACAGGCGAACTGTTTGATTGTACAAAAGGATTGTTCATTTGTGGGTATTGATCAATTTAATAAAATTGATTTTTATATTAACAATTGTAAAGCATATTTTCCATATAAAGTCCCAAAATATACAGTGAGAAATATTTATTGTCTATTCGCTTAGCTAGGGCATATTTTGACAGACTCATTGTCGGAAACCTACAACACAACAATTCCTACTTCTCAGTATTCATAGCTCAAGTATACTACTATTGCAGACTTCTTTCTTTGAAAAAAAGAAGAATTATTCTAAATAGTGGAAGTGTATACTAAACCCAATAAATTTTCCCTGTATATTTAAAATATAATATTTGAATTGTTACAATTTAAAATATTGTAGTAAATATTTCTATTATTCGCGTTGTTTATTTAATTTAATATAGTTTTATTGTTTTATTATCTTTGTTTAATTCTTTTATTAGTTCTATTCAGTTAATTAGTTAGTTATATTTTAAATTTTATTATTATGGATAGTCAAAGTTTTCCATTTGTTCCATCAGCTAATGTGTTGGTAAGTTTTTCTTAATAAATATGATAAAATGTTTTTTAAAAGTTAATATTTTTAGATTAGTTGTTTCTAATTTAACATAAACTTGTTTATACTTACATGGAGGTTTTTGTTGTTTGTTTGGGTTTATATGACTGCAGACTGCGGTCAGGACACTGAATTCATTAACCATATGTGGAAGATTTTAACATCCTCAAATGCTAATGAGCAAAAATTACTATTGAACCACGAATTTGCCTAGTCAAATTACTAATATTTGCTTTAAGCATATGAAAGTACACTTATTTTGTAAGATAATAAAACAACAGTTTATGTTAATGCTATCCAATGAACTGTTAATCTTAATCATTGATTCCATCCTAGTCACAACATAAGGAACTTGCTGTGTCTTATTTAACCTCACTTTGACTTTTTAATTTTGTAGAATTTATTCCCACTTTTTTTATTTTGTACAATAAATAATTTTATTATTTGTTATCAATACATTATACGGTGTAAATAAATAAATATTGATTGTCGGCAAAGTTCTATTTTATTTACTTTTGTTTACATTAATATTGACTAAGAGCACGTATGCTTGGTTGCATAGTAATTTCCAGCCACTTCGAGTCTGTCAAAAAGTAACTAACTTCGCAAAAAAATAATTACTAAAATCACTAGACAGTTCGGACTGGGAATAGCGAACCGGGTATATCTAATCTAATAAAACGCTAGGCTGACACGTCAAGCAGAAATGCGGTTTATCCGGGACGTTATAGTGCGTGCTAGCACTCTTGACCACGGCGCAGTAGACGAAATTTGGTTTAGTCCCCACTTCCGTGTGAAACGCATTGTACTATGCACTGTATAATGAATCGCAGGAGTGATGACGTAGATTTGATTGACATCTGTCAGTTTCACTTTCCAAACAAACGTTGTTTAGTGTGGATAATTTGTATTTTTCGTTATTTTTTAATTTTTTTTACAGAATCTTTCCGCTTTTGCAATATCTAAGTATTGTAATAGTTACTATAGGCTATTCCACGAATATACGACTGTTTTGGTTTACTGCGACAACGAATATATTACTGTGCAAGTAGAAGTATGAAGGTCAATTGATCTAATCATTATTCCAATAAAAAGGGTCTACTATTATAGTATGACATATAAACTAAAATTATTTCAGTTAAAATCTACAAATAAATACAATGACGTCTATGAAGCCAAATGTGTTCATCGGACATTTGGGTAAGCTTTCCGTGAAATGTAAACACCAAAGAGGCGTGCCGGGTTTCTTTGATATAACACATATTATTAGTTTATTAGGTATTACAACTGTAATAAAAAGAAATATACTATTTTTAATATAAATGAAAAGAAATTGGCAGAACGATGGTTCACAAAGCAGAAATGGATCTAATATTTCACTTTGTTAGTTTTAAATATTTGTTTGCTTTGAGTTTATGTACTCTTAAAAGTTCCGAAAGTAACGGGTATAACATACCGGCTATTGATAGTTAAAGTACCGAGTCGTTACAGATAGTAAAAAGTAACGAAAATTTATATACAGCTTCATATATCGTCGACTGATTATGGCTGTGAATCTGATCGTTGATGATAGTTTTAGAAGATTAAGAGAATAAGTGAATAAGTAAATAAGTAAGTTTTTTTATTTTTTTAATATTAATTGAATATTCGACTAAAAATTTACACTATTTGATCACTTAAGTATTGTTACATTTCGTTTAAATCACATAATTCAAAAACCAACTTGTTTACAATGAAATAATTGAAATAAAAAAATAAACTCCATGATAGTAATTATATACTTCAAAATCTGAATTACAACTGTTTTATAAACTATTAACTTTATATTTATATCATGATTTCATATTTAAATCTAAGGTTTATATCTGTCGTAACAGTTTTTTAAAAATGGGGAGAATTTACTATTGTACAATTCAGTACATTGGACCATTTAAATCGACACCTTAAAGCGAATTTAAAACAGTCGTATTTTCGTGGAATGGAGTATACAACAATTTTACAAGGCTGTGTAAATAATAAAGCATGTTGTTTTATAAAAATAGCAATAAAATGCATGCATCAATAAAGTAAGGTTAGAATTTCTTTAATGTATACTTTTAAACTATATATCATAGAAATAGAACACTGAATTGTGATGGTATTATCGTAAAAAACACTAAACTTAAAAGAAAAAGTAGCAGAGGGAGCAAAATGTTACTTTATAGAAATTAAAAAGTCTTGAGATTTGGCATTTCAACTTTTATTTGGAAAGTAATAACAACAATATGACAGATGTGACGTCACACTCCTGCTATCCATTCCACTTACAATAGAACCTTTCAGCCTTTACCTGAATTTGACTCCGCCTTCGCGCAGCTTCATGGTCAAGAGTGCTTGAACTATCCTTACCTCCTAGCGTCACCTAGGGGAGAAATTTGACATTTCAACCTACTGAGTCTTAATTAATCATATTGTGTTCTTGATACAATACGTTTGATTTATGGCTAATCATTCTACAAATTGATAAATTCAAATATCCTTACTCGGAAATTTTACTACTTCACCAGTAATTTATTTTTTCACAAAACTGACAACAATATTGGTTACTATAATTTTAAGGTAACATTTATTTTGCAAAATAATTTAAAACTTTATGTTATAATATGGACTTGGCTGCGAATATGGTGAGATCATCTAAAAAATATAATTCGGATGAAGAACGAAAGGAAGCTAGCTATACTCGAAGAAGGAAACTTCTATATATATATATATATATATATATATATATATATATATATATATATATATATATAATCAGTCCAGTTCTTTTTTCCAGCAGTGTATATTTTTTGTAGTTTTACTATTTTCAAACAAAAAACTTTTAGGATGTTTACAATAAAAGAAGAGGAATATGCAATGATCCAGACTACCCCAAAAAGACGACCAAATGGTCAGTCCAAGAAAGAGTCATGGGCACGCGCCGTACAAAAATCTAGAAGGTGCAAAGGGGAAGCATACTATTCAAAAACCAAAACATCCGATGGTGATGTGTTGTACGTATTTAGGCCATCAAGAAAGATAAAACCGAGATGCATTCATACAGAAAAAACGTATTTTCAGTGCCTTAGGGTCACTGATAATTTAAGACGGGATATATTTTCTGCCTTCTGGAAAATGTCTTGGGACGAGAAGAAAATATATGTTAGATCACTTGTCCAAAAGGCTGGCATTAAACGTAGAAGAGGAATTGAAGATTCTAGAAGGAACCTTTCGTTTTCATATTACTTCAATGATGATAATGGTAGTATTAGGGTTTGTAAAAATATGTTTGTGAACACTCTAGCTATTGGAAGGGACACTTTATATCACTGGACTGCTGGGTTTGAGCAAAATTCAACTTAATGTACAAAAACTGTTTTAAGAAATAAAGTCAATATAAAACGTAATTTTACAATTAATTAAAATTATATACCATTATGATCTAATCCGCATAATTAAAATTACAAATTCAATAAAATTCCTGTACAAATTATCAATAATTGTTTGGATTTGTATTCAAATAAAAGATCTCTTCTCTGTGTTTACTTTTGTTATATTAAATCAAGGCAAAGAAATTTTTTTCAAGAAATATTACTTCATTTAATTTTGTTCTGTAACCGAATTAAAAGATTATATTTATTGTGAAATGAAATCACTGAATAAAATATTTATTTATTTATTTTTACGCACAATAGGCCGTTAAGACCTAGGGCATTTTTTTACATGACAAACTAATTACAATTATTTTAAACAAAACTTTAACTTATATATGTATATATAACATTCTTAACTACTCTGAAGGACCTGGTGTACAATATTTCTCCATTCGCTTCTATTTTGTGCTTTTATTTTCCAGTCCCTCACCTTCAAGGGTTTAAGGTCTTCCTCCGCTTTACTACTCCATCTCGTTCTGGATCTACCACTTCTTTTGGGGCCGATTAATTTTCTGGTTCTTACTAGTTTAGGCATTCTGCTTTCTGTCATTCATGTCCTAACCCTCTGATTCTTGTGCCTTGACGAACTTGGTAATGGTAGGTTCTTTCTATAAAGCCATTAATTCATTGTTGGTTCTTCTCTCCCAACCATCTTCTGTCCTCCGTCCTCCGAATATGCGTCTCAATATTTTCCTTTCCCATCTTTCCAGAGTATCCTCTTCCTTCTTATTTAATGTCCATGTATCACCGGCATTTGTTACTATGGGTCGAATTACTGTTTTATATGTTTTGAGTTTTTTGAGGAAAAAAAAAATCCTAAATAGGGAAATTCAAACTGAAGAAATAAAAAAAAGAAAAAAGTTAGCTTGGGCAGCATTCGGTAAACTGAACTATATACTCAGAAATCAACAAATTCAATTACATCTTAGATCTAAAGTTTTTGATGCATGCATTATTCCGATATTAATTTATGCGGCACAAACATGGACAATCACAAAAAAGAATATGAATATGCTTAGAGTCACTCAACACGAGAAGGAAAGAGCAATGCTAGATATATCACTTAAGGATAAGAAAACAAACACGTGGATAAGACAGAAAACCAAAGTCACCGATGTGGTGCAAAAATCATTTAAGTTGAAATGGGAATACGCTGGACATACCTAAACAATACCTAAACAAATGGCACAGATCAATTTTAACCTGGAGACCATACCAGCACAAAAGACCCAGAGGCAGACCTCCTATGAGATGGACAGATGATCTGAAAAGGACTGCCGGGAAAAATTGGCTACAAGTAGCGTACAATAAAAAACAATGGAAAGGAAGACTTGAAGAGGCTTATGTTCAGATGTGGACATGAATGGCTAGACGAAGAAGAAGAAGAAGAAGATGTTTTGAGTTCAGTAGGGCTCTTAAAGTACCTAATTTTTTATTCCCTTTTGCTATTCTGGCTTCGAGCTCCCATTTCTCTTTTCCATTTTCATCGAAAACTACACCCAGGCATTCAAATTCGTCCACCCTTTTAAAATTATAGCTTTTACCACTTACTGACCTCACACTAAAGTCTTCTTTTTTCCCTTCTGTCCCTCCCATGATCATATATTTGGTTTTGTCTTCATTTAGTTCCAATCCGAATTTCTGTGCTTCTTCGATGATTTTCTTCACAACTCTTCTTAATTCTTCTCTAATTTTGGTTAAAAATTCAACTCCTTTCGGCCCCATTGTCTTTAACATTTCTGCAGTGATTTTGTCATGACCAGCCGATTTACCTTTCTTTGTGTTGTTAATTGCTTCTTTAACTTCTTCTATTTGAATATAATTTTCTTGTCCATATTCTCCTTCTACTTCTATCATTACAGTTTCCTCTTTCGGCTGTCTTGGTGTTAGGAGTTCGCTGAAGTATTGTCTCCATCTTTCCATAATCTTATTTGGTCTGGTAATCAGTGTGCGTCTTTACGTTTCACCCATCATTGTTTCTTTACCTTTTCTTAGCGTCTTTAGTGCCTTGTAAAACAATTTTTGGTTACCCCGGCTATCTGCCTTCATCTTCATTCCAAACTCATCCAAGGCTACCTTTTTCTTCTTCAGCACCATTTGTTTCACCACCTTTCTTTGTCGTTTATAATCTTCGTAACTATTCTCTGTTTTCTTGTATATTTTCCATTCCTGTTTTTTATACTTTATTTGGGCTTTTAATTCATCGTCCCATCATCGTACCTGAAGAAGTAAATACTAAAATAGCGACAATTTTCAATGAATTTGTCTAAGGAAATACTTTTTATTTCAACGATATTTGCGAAATTTATGTAAAAAAAGGCTCTGGTACTCACTACTATTCTAAAACTTCATTTGCACAAGAGGAGTACAGATCACTTGATACCACCAAGATAAAAACAAAAAAAAAAGGTTTAGAAAGCATGGATATTATAGAACTAAAAAAGGCTTACACTGGCAGCCTGCCAATAACCGAAAAGAAGAAAAAAAGACCTTACTAACCTTTGTGTAGACAAGAGTGTTCCACTAATTCACGCTGATTTCTATCGACATTAAAAGCATTTTTAATCATAACTTTTCCTATTATTATAATTTATAATATATACTTTTTTCATTTCGTTCTTCTTATTGTTGTTAAAAAACACATTTTCTCATTTAAGTACATTGTGGTATTTTTTATTGAACCTATATTTCAGTTGATAGGAAAAATAAAAAAATGCCAGTTTTGTCTTTGCCTTAATTAGTCTTGAAAGAAAATGTTAATGTTCAATAGTGGCACAACTCAAAATAAAGGTTGAATTTAAACGTCTGTGTTACCATTCATTAAAGGCTACCTAATGTTCCCCCAAATAAACCAAAATATATTTTTTTCAAAAATTCTAATCCATGTAGTAAAGCAAATAAGACAAAAAAGTTGTCACACAAAACTTTAAACACCTGTTTTGAAAAATTACCCGTTTTGTGTTGTGCCACTATTACTTGGAAAATAGGACATGGTGATTATAAGTGTTGACAGTGTTTGATAACCATACCAATACATTTCTGTGAGTGTGCTAGTTCTAAATGACTAAAATAACCTGCTTACATCCCTAATTTTTTAATATATAATACTAATTAGCTTATTTTTAGAGTGAAAAACAAATCCAAAAGACTGAAAACAACAAAGAAGCAAATCAAAAAAGAAAAGAACGGATCCGAAACAGTCTCAGAAAACGATGACTGGATTCCGAAAACGACTCCAAAGAAAAGAAACGTAGGTAGAAAAAAATCTCAAGATAATACAGCAGACTCAGAAAAAAAGAAACCAGTGAAGAAACGTAAACCAAAGGTACAAAATAATGAGGTTGAAAAGAAGATTAAGATTAAAAAAGAAAAAGAAGATGATCCAGAAGAAAACGATATGAACGAGGATCTAGATTTTAGATTTGATAATAGCGACTATGACGAAAGTGATACAAAAGAAGAGCAGCCAGAAAAGAAAAGAAGAAGAAGGCGAAATATTAAGCTGGATTTGGTAAAGATAGAAAAGTTTGTCAATCTGAATGAAGTGCCAGAGCCTGTAACTTGTAAGCAGTGTCAAGAGGTATTCATGACACACCTTGATCTAGGAATGCATTCAATCGTTCATTCTGTAGAGAATTTATACTCTTGTCATATGTGCGATTTTTCCAGAGATAAAAAGTCACTGATTAAGAATCATATAAGATCTCATGATCTGTGGAAATGTGAAAAATGTAGTAAAATATTCAAAAGTAAAAGATGCGCGTACAAACATTCAAAGACGCACAATGCAAAAAGTTTTGTTCAATGCGAAATATGTGGCAAAGATGTCAGGAGCGCCTATCTTGAGACACACAAAAAGCTGGTACACGCTGACGAAAAAACCGTTCAAATCTACAAATGCCATCTCTGCGACAAAGCTTACAAAAACTCAACAGCACTTAAAGGACATTACTCCTACAACCACAAGGAATTCGGCGTTGATACTTCTGTAATTTGTGATATTTGTGGCATGAGGTTGTCTTGCAAAGGAAAGCTAGGACAACACGTAAGAACGCACACAGGTGACAGACCTTTCCCTTGTACGGTCTGTCCTAGAAAGTTCATTTCAAAAGACATTCTACGCGCGCATATGCGGGTTCATACTGGTGAGAAGCCTTACATCTGTATGTATTGCGGCAAAAAGTTTGCTCATGGAGCCCCTTACCGGTATCACATCAAAACGCATACTGGAGAAAAGTCCTTTATCTGCAGTTTGTGCGGCAAAGGCTTCATTTCTAGGGCAAACATGAGGATTCATATGAGGAGTTGCACTTTGCCTGTGAAATTATTTACTGAATCTTTTCCAATACTTAACAAATAGTCTCTTTCTGTAAATAAAGAAAATGGGACTCATGTGTTCCAGAATACTCAGTAGGTTTAAATTTCTCAAATTTGTATTGTATTTTTAGATAAGTTTGAGTATATGTAAAAAAATATGTCGTTGTACTCAACAGTTGCAAGGATGCGTTATAGGGAATGTATTTGGGCTGAAAATGTTGTTTTCTCCATAGCATTTGAAAGCTTAACAGAAATTTGAAAAATATTTTATTTGAAAAAACCTGTTAGCCATACCAAATTTAGCATTGTCGTACAAGGACCATTCGTAAAATAAGATTCGTAGGAATTATAAAAATAGACAGGTTTAATTTTGTTCTTAGTATTATATATTTTTTCTACATTATTGCTGTTTCAGTCCAAACACTTTTGCAGCCGATTCTTCAATTTTTCTACTCCCATGTAGACTTCTACCGCCAATCCTTTGAGGAATCGAGTCGCCTCTTCTTTAACTTCAACATCGGTACTGAAGGGGAAGCGACCCAAGTATTCTTTTAATTTTGGAAATAAGTGATAATCACTTGGTGTTGGGTCCGGACTGTGTGGGGGTGGGGCACAACAGTCCAACCAAAATCTCTTAGTAGTTATTCATTTTAATATGAGACATGAGGTCGAGCGTTGTCATGTCAAGTTTGACATCGCGGGCGGTTCTGGATCTCCCGTCTCAGTATTTTTAATGTCTCGCAATATCTGTAGAAGTTAACTCTTGTTGCGTGAGGCAAAAAGTCGATTGGCAGTAGGTCCTTTCTGTCCCAAAAGACAGTTGGTCTGACTTTTCCAGTAGATTGCCTTTATTTACACTTCTTCGGCTTCGGCGATGTTAAGTGACGCCATTTACGTGACTGTTGCTTTTGGGGTAAAGTAAAACTCCCATGTTTCGTTGCCTGTAACCATGGAATCCAAAAAATCTTCTTTCTTATCTTCATATTGTTGAAAAAACTGCTGGATACACTCAACACGTTGCTGTTTGTGATTTTTTGTAAGCAGTCACGGTACCCAAAGCAAGGTCGTTAATGGCAAACCTCCGCGCTTCGTGCGATACTTTTTCGACAATTTTCCTGAAACTGAAGACCTTCTGCTATGATCTGCATCGTGAATTTCGGTTCGGCCTTCATTGAATTCTCTACACTATTTGCTAACATGTTGAACAGATATGCACTTTTTAATAGGTAAAATCTGGTCGGCACTGAGCAATGAAAGCAAAGCAAGTAATTAAATTAAATCCAGCCTAAGAGACTTCTTCACCCCTTGAAATGACGTTCGGATATAACAATTCATTCTAGCGAGGTGTATTAATTTGTGTGTAAGCAGGAATGACTCCACAGCGCTTCAATGCTCCAGACCATTCCAGACTGTCAAATTCTCTTTATGTGGCAGTTTTGGGTACAAGGACTCCAACATGGTTCCCTAATCGAATCAAATGCAGGCTAGCGTTATGCGGTTTTATTCCTGCTATCCTCTTATGACTTATCCGCCAATCTGAAATCGCTTAAGTCTCCCCTCCAGACTACGCCCAATTCGGAGACTTGGTGTTCGAAGGTTTGGGCTATACATGCCCTGGTTTTTTGGTTTTTGTTGGTTTTTTTGTTGGCTTCCGCCGGTTTTTTTTTATATTTTTTAGGTGGCAGAAGCCATTTGTTGTGGAATGTATCTTATCTCATTATCTCTTTATATGGGACTTATGTGGTTTTCCAGCTCCATAAATTTTATTCTGGCTTTTTCTGTCATCGTATCCGTCACCCTGATTTGTTGCAGTTCTCTAAATAGACAACGTTCAGCGACGTGTCTTGGTACGTTGACTGCTTCTCTTAGACTGCTGTTGTGAGCCGCTTGGATATTTTTCTTAGTTGTTTTACAGACGTGTCCCCATGCGAGAGATGCTTATGTTAATATCGTTAATATGATGCTATTTATCAATCGCATCTTTAGTTTCATTCTTAGTTTCCTTCTTCTAACTGCTAATTCTCTTTTGTATTGTGGCGTCTACGTATTGTTTGAAGGTTAATTATTTGTCCATTATTACTCTCAGGTATTTGGCTTCGCTTTTCCATTCGATGAGATTATTTTGGAATATTAATTGTTTCTCTGACTGTTGATGTCTCTTTTTAAAGAGCACTGCTTTCGTTTTTCCGAGTTTATGACGATTTTCCATTGTATACTCCATTATTCGATTTGGTCTAACGCTGTTTGCAAGTTGTTTCGTGCTATATTTTCACTTCTATATTTGGTCGCTATTGCCGTGTCGTCGGCATAAAGACTGAGTAAAGTTCTAGGTGATCTTGATCATCGGCGGTGTATATTGTATACAGTAGTGGTGACAGGAGTGCTCCCTGTGGTAGTTTCCGAGTTCGGACAGATCAGTCGCATCATTGCCCAGGTGAATCCATAGCCACTAAATTGAATAATGCAGCGAGGCAAAAATGGTGGCGAGAGAGAAGGATAGTTTATTAATGCAGTGTTGCCAGATTTCTTCCAGCACATCAGAAGCTTTACCAATCTCGAGTACATGAAATTTGGACTAAAATTGTAAAGACTCAAAACAATGCACGTGTTGCACATCAATGGGAGCATTAGCGACCAAAGACAACAACACCAGACAAAAAATTAAAATATTGATAGTTCTAGCCCAAAAATGTTACTATAATTACAAAAGTTGGCTTCAAAATTGCTTGAAAATATCAAACTAAACCTCTTATAGTACTAGATGTTGAAGATTATTGCTGATGTATGAAATTTGATAGGATGATATCTGATAAGAATGAAAATGGATGAAATCTGATAACATGATAAAAAAGAAGAACAAATCAAAACCATGGATGAAACCATCAGATGTAGATAGTTTTCAGCAATGTATTTCCGACATACTTAATAGTCCTGAAACAGAAAATACCTAATATAAACGACTTAAATAATAAATTAACAAATGCTTTACTGGAAAGTCAAAACAAATTCTGTCCTAGAACTCAAAAAGAAGAGAAGATTAGCCAAAATACTAGGGAACTAATGCAGAAAAGAAGAGAAATGAGAAGCCAGACGGAAACTAAAGCCAACGAACTACAAAAATTATATAAATAAAGAAATATCCAAAGCTATTAGACAAGATACTCGAAAATACAACCAAGAACAAATCGAACATACTATTGAGAACAATAGAAGTATGAAAGTATTGAGAAAAAGACTAAAAACGGGGGCAACACAGATAATAAATATTAAAGATAGAAATGGTCATCTTACAACCAACAGAGAGGAAATACTTAAAATAGTTGAAAACTTCTACAAGCTGCTGTACACAAGTCAACACAAAACAAATAGCAGAGAAGATCAAGTACCAGAAATATTAACAAAGAAAAAGGGCATTGTCAACCAAGGATCAGAACTACTACCGGAAATCACAATGGACGAAATAAAACTAGCCCTAAGAAAAGCTAAGAATAACAAATCTCCAGGCGAAGATATCTCCACTTGCTTACTTAAGAAAATAAAAAACCTTTTTAACATGTGCCTTTTGGACAGTAATATACCCGACAAATGGCATAATGCTGAGGTAATTCCATTGTACAAAAAAGGAGATCCCCATGAATTAGAAAACTACGGACCTATAAGTCTTCTTAGTCACCTATACAAATTCTTTACAAGAATAATAACGAATTGTCTTGAGAAAAAACTTGATTTCTACCAGCCAATAGAGCAAGCGGGATTTCGTACCGGATTTGGAACAAATGATCACCTATAGAGCATTAAAACGGTAATAGAAAAGACTATCGAATACAATCGATCACTCGTTCTGGCTTTTGTAGATTTCCATAAAGCCTTTGATACAGTAGAATTTGACAACATCCTGGACCACTGCAAACATGCCGCATTGACTACCGATATACAAGGTTAATTTACAATACATACAAAAACGCTACTATGTCGGTGAAACGACATGAAAAGACAGATCACATCCTAATCGGCAGAGGAGTACGACAGGGTGATACCTTATCGCCTAAACTGTTTACCGCAGTACTAGAATATTCTTGTAAAAAACTTAACTGGGAAGAGAAAGGCCTAAACATTGACGGTAGAAGATTAACAAATCTGAAATTCGGAGACGATATAGTTTTATTCTCGGACAACCTCAAGGAGATATGTACAATGCTACATGAGCTTAGTGTTAAGAGTGCTATATTAGTGTGTGCCAGTGTGGGTCTTAAAATAAACATCTCCAAAACAAAATTCATGACAAACCTAGTACCTATCGGAAATATCAATGTTGGAGAAAACGAAGTAGAGCTGGTGGAAAAATACGTATATCTTGAACATGAAATAAAGATCACAAGAGACAACCAAACATGCGAACTACGAAGAAGAGTAAACCTAGCATGGGCAGCCTATGGAAAACTCAAAGACATCTTTAAAAGCGATATACCAATTTCTTTGAAACGTAAAACATTTGACCAATGTGTGTTGCCTGTGATGACCTATGGTGCCGAAACTTTGACATTGACAGCTATAAGTTCTAGGACGCTGCAAGTAGCTCAGAGGAAAATGGAAAGATCAATGCTGAGTATATCGCTTCGTGACCGAGTTAGAAATGAAGACTTAAGACGAAGAACAGTGCTCAAAACAGAGCACAATGGACAAAAATGAGGGAGGCCTATGTCCAGCAGGGGACGCAAAGGGCTGGGTGATGATGATGATGAAATCTGAACACTTACGTAATACAACCAAGGACTTCCTAGGTGCATTGGATGGTTAAATACTTATTACAAACTATCGGTTTATACCTTCGTGAGATCCATTTCATCATATATTTCAATTAAGGATCATCATCATCATCATCAGTAGCTCGACAACCCTTTCTGGGTCCTGGCTTTTTCTAGGATTTTTCGCCATTCTGTTCTTTTTTTTGCCTTGTTTTTCCAGTTGGTAGTCTTACGTGTTTTCAGATCTTGATCCACTTGTTCCATGTATCTAAGTTTGGGTCTTCCCTTGGACCTTCTCCCTACTGGTATTTGCCTCAATATATGTTTTGGCGTTTCAGTCTCTAACATCCGTTCAACATGACCCATCCAGCGCAGACGTCCGATCTTTATGGATATTATGATTTCG